CCCTCAGCGCGCAACTTTGGGAAAAATTAATAGAAAATGAATATGGAATTTGTGGGTAGGCGAGTGCACTTTTACATGAGTGCTTGATGTTGTTATCTGTGTCTTGATTAGGTAGTTAGTGTGACGAAAAATGTTCATATAAATGAGTTATCTCTTGCTGGCACAAGGATTAATTTGGTGCTTATTGATTGCATATGGCTTTCTTTACTCCCTTTGCTGGTTGGCTGGTAACTTCTAAAAACATTATTGTAGCTTGATGGACATAGGATTTAGAAATATAATGCAAGGACATCCCATTATCCACCGAGTTTAGAAGGCTGTGATTGGTCCAAAAGGCGGGTCACAGACGGATTTCTCGGTTATCAAAAAAAAAATATAATGCAAGGACAATTCAAAAGAAAAGATTCTAAAGTTATTGCACGTCAGCCTGCTAGTATGGAGCTTAATTTGCAATAACCGAAGTTTAGACAATGTGATAGGCACTATTTTTTGGAAAAAAACTAAGGGGGGCTATATTTCCAGTTAGACGACAGGGAAAATTTTGTTTTCTCTAAATCAAAAGCTTTTTTGCTCTTCTTAAACACTGTGCCTCAGACTGGTGCTGGGCTTTCAATGCAGAAGGTTAAGTTTGAAGTTTGAATGCTGATAATATTTTGATGCATGAGTTAATGTGCATCAATTTATGAGATGACTTTTAGGAGATATCTTAACTAGTTGGCAAGGCAATTAATGCTTAAAGGGACTAAAATTTTGTGGCAGCCGACACGGTCTGGAATTGTAATTGAAGGCTCCAACTTGTCTTCTCTTCTAGTTTCTCAAATGCGATTTCTTTAACCTAAATTGATGGTGAAAACTTCCGTCAAAGTTTTACCTATCCAATATTATTAAAAAAAACTACATCAATTGCTTTGCATCAACTAATGACTTAGATGATTGAAGGTGAGAAGTCGACAATTTGACTGATTTTGTTTCCCTTTGAAGTAATGCGTAAAGAAGTTTTTCCTTGAAATATAACCTTTCAATCACGGTTCTTTTGGACTAATAGAACTGTGATTTGCCGTATGAGCCAGCAGTACTTTTACAGAACTTCAGTCTTTGAATAAACTGTGACATACTGCTCTTTCTAGGGTGTTATGATCTAAGGATACTTCCCTTTGTGGCACATTTCCTCGAAGGTTAAACATAGGATTTACTTTTAATATGTTATGCTTGACAGTTGACACAGACAACAAAGCATTGTGGATAATCCAGGTGCTTCAATTTGAGAGGCCGAATAGTTTTATTGTGCAGTGTAGACATACCTATTCTTATGATGAAATAAGTATAAGGATTGTACGTTTTACTCTTGACTTAATGGAGGGCGAGGATAAGGGTAGAAAGTTAGTACTTAGCCGCGTGTTGTCGGACTGCTTGTGGGAAAGGCAGGGGGCTAGCCTCCTCTCCACTTCTCAATGTTAGTAGTATTATTTAGTAATCACGTAGCTTCTTTTCTTCCGTGTGTTTATTACTATTTGTTGCTTTATTTGTTTTTTATCCTGTTACTATGTCGTCTTATTTGTTGACAACCCTGCTTTGAATTCTTCTCTTCTTTTGAGACGAGGCTCTATCGGAAACAACCTCCCTACCCTGCAAAGGTAGGGGTAATCTATGTACATCCTACCCTCCTCAGACCCCACTTGTAGAATTGCACTAGGTATGTTGTTGTTCTTGTACTCCCGACTTATTGGGTTGGCCATGCTTAGTTAAGCTAGTTAAGCACTTCTATCTTCCGTTTGATTGTAAAGTTGACTAACATAAGATTTGATGGATATATGATGGTGAGACTTCACTTTTCTTAAGCAATTTCCTATATCCATATGTTGATGTTTGAGTGCTTTTACTTTTGAGCACTTAATGCTCTGCGAGAAACTGAAATTCAAGCACTCAGCAGACGAGCAGTCTGTGCAACATTCTAGCAATGGCTTAGAATAAGGGCAGATAGAGAAGGTCTAAGTTTATTAGGATATGTCTCAGTTGCCGTTTTATGTCTTTTTTTGTCTTGCCTCCTTGGAGTGTCCATGCTTCTCAGGTTTCTGTGGATGAATTAGATATCCTAAAATGAACCAGTTCACTAGTCAAAAGTTAGTCCCTTATTCACACTTTCTAAGAATTCTCAGTCTTGTCCATTGTATGTACGATGATTGAGTTGTTAAAACTTAAATGTGATACTGTAAAAAATGATTCAAATATGCCAAGCTTGATGAACAGGAACGCGTCATTACTGTTTCTGGTACATTTGTTGTTTCATGTTATCTACATGACAGCTATATGGAGGTTACAAAAACAATATCCCAGTGTAATCCCACAAGTGGGGTGTGGGGAAGGTAGAGTGTACACATACCTTACCCCTACCTTGTAGAGATAGAGAGGTTGTTTCCAATAGACCCTCGGCTTAAAATAAAGCATATCCAAGCAGTTTGAAGAAGGGAATACAGAAATAAGAGCATTAACAACAACAAAATAATGTGAAATGAAGAGAATAATTTTGATGCATTTCTTGAATGCCTGGATGGCGATGTTATGCAGCGTTCTGTTATTGTAAAATTGAGATTCTAGCATGTAGAATATACTGCTGCTACTTACTCTGATTTTTAGGCCGTACTTCAGCATATTGATACTTCATCCAGTCATGAGTACTGCAACCATTTTCTTAGCTTGAGCTTATGGATAGTCAAACTACATACAGTGCATGCAGTGTGTGACATGTTATTCTGAAATGATATGCGAGTTCCTATTTCTTTTATATTTTATGCCATGAAAACTAAGATGATCGGGATCGTATTAGCTGACCATTTAACCACCCAACATATGCTCACATATGGCAGTTTTAGATGTAATCAAAATGGTAGGCTTAGACAGGGTACTTGCTGAAGACCATTGGGAGATGTCCTATTATCTGAAAATAGTTGCTGTATTTGAAATGCATGATATCATTATTTATTTTGTATGGCGTCTCATATTGGTCTGTAATAGTCTGTTTCTCCAAATGTTTCTTGTGTCGTTTGATTCAGAAGGTTGCATGAAAATGAGATCATGATCTAAAGATTTTGTGCATGGCAGGTTGCTGAGCGAGCTCTGTTCTTATGGAACAATGAGCATATAGTAGACTTGATCGCTCAGAATCGACGTGCAATTTTGCCAATCATCTTTGAGCCATTAGAAAGGAATATGTATGGTCACTGGAATCAGGCAGTCCACGGGTTGACCTCTAATGTCCGGAGAATGTTCTTGGAGATGGATTCAGAACTTTTTGAGGAGTGTGAAAAGGAATACAATGAAAAGGCAGCTGGTGCCAGCAGCCTTGTGGAGCAGCGTGAGCGAGCTTGGAAAAAATTGGAAGAAGCTGCTTCAATGGTCGGGTAGAATGTGTTGCAACAGCATATTGAGTCCAGCTGAGCCCTGTGCAAGCAGTACTCCTCTGCGTAGAACATCTCAAACTGCCTAATGATGGTTTTTGACTTCTCAAACTGAAGATGAATCGCTCCAAAGTTTTTTCCGTGCTTCCTGCTGCTTTTCCATAATTTGAGTGAGGCAGGCTGAAGGTATGGGCATTGTGTTATCTTTCCTTGACAAACATAGTGTGAAAGTTTTGTTTATTTTAGCTTTTCTAAGACAATTATTCTTTATCATTTTAGGACTAACAAATAATCAAATTTCTTTCTCTTTGTGATCACCCCACCCCCACCCCCACCCTCCCACTACCTTCCTCTAGGAAAAGGAAAATGGGATACAGAAATATATTATTCGATCGTTTCTTTATTGCCCGTATTTTTGTCTGAAATGTTTTTCAATAGTGATGATATGCTTGTTGACCGATTTTTTTCTCTTCTTCTGTTACCCCAAGCAATTTATTTGTAGCAACTTCCTGAATGTTCTTTATGGCAAACAATATCTTCAAGGTTTCTACTTGTTCTCCGACCCCCGACCCCTATTCCAGCAACTCTGCCTCCCAAAAACAATTAAAGGAGAGAAGTAAATGTGTATGTATTGCTGTTGGGACTTGGGAAATAGTGTTCAGTGTTGTCAAAGGAGCCTTAAAGCGCAAAACATGTTGAGCGCTTCAGTATCGTTATCAAGGGTCTAAGGCATATGTTTCCTTGCCAATGATCATAATTCTGAAGAGGCTACACTAAACAATTGATATTTCAATTTAATGCAAACACTTCATCGTTGAATTTTTTCAATTTGTTTGTCCTAGATTTGTTATTTATTCTTATAATTATTATTAGTCTAGGACTCCGTATACATATTTATACTTTTTCTTTGTTTGCACCTTTCTTTGTTAACCTCACACATTATTTGTGCTTTGCACTTAAAGCCCCAACGAACTTAAGAGTTTTTTGTGTTCTTCACCTTTCATAACACTCATAGCGTCTATATATAAGAATTATCATTTCTTCACTTTTTTCTTGGTGGGGAAAGGGAAAGAGGGACTGGGAGTTGAAGAGAGAGGGGTTAAAGAGTGGAACTGTGAACAGGGGAGCGTTCCAACTATAGCACGATACGAGTTATTCATAACAATAACTGCTTAGAGTATCGGTTTCTGACTACACATGGAAACCTTTGAGATCTTCTTGGTTATGTTTGGCCTCATTTAGTTGAGAGAATCATGAACTATTAAGTATTAACAAACCATTTAACTATCCAAGGAAAGATGTGATAGCACTAGAAAAGTTCTAAGCATTTTTAGCCCCAATAGTTGGCCTTCAATTTGATTGATCTTTGAGGAACTAATGTTGCAATGATCATAAGTTTGAGGTTTAAGCGTTTGGTAGACGTGTGAGTCTGCAAGGTGGTAATACTCCCTCCCGTCCAAAAATAAGTGTCGTTTTAGGAAACCAAGAAACCTTTGCGGCAACAAATATGATCTGTACAATTTCTAAAGGGTATAATCCCTCTTGATGTTACTATCAATTAACTATGTACAAGAAGTGGGAATCCTTGATACTGATACTGTTAAGTAGAAAATTTTCTTTTAGTACATTCTTTGTTATAATAATCATTCTTAGATTACTGTAGTATGAGTGATAATGGTAATGTTAATAGCCCAACATTGTTGGTGATTATATACAAAATTAGAAGAGAAAACAAGATGTTGGTGGTTGAACTTGAAGGTGATGATGTTGATGATCCTGCCGATGCAACGCTCCCAAATACCTTTTCTAAGAAATCGCCATCACCATCGTTAGACCTTGAAGGTCTAACACTGCTGCTCCGGTTGGCGGTAATGGTTGTTCTGGTTCTCCCACCAAATGACATGGCCACAGTGGTATCCCTGTTGTTTAACAGAAGACTTTTTTTACCATTCTATACTGGCATTCAGCAAATGACTAGAGCTGATATCAGTCTATAGATGGCTTGTTATGCTAGCAGGAGACTAGAACACATTTTATTTTTTTTGCAAGGGGGAGGGGGTCTTGCTCCCCGAGGGCTAGTGGTGCACGGTATGAAACTCTGTAGATAATGGGCTCGATCCTCTACCATTCTCCACTTAAATACCAAACTTTTGTCAGCGGCAGGATTTGAACCCCTGACATGTGCCTAACCCACACATCATATGTTTGTCACGAGTTGGAACCTTGTTGTAGACAATCTTGGTCTTTAAGTGGAGAAGGGTAGAGAGCCGGACTTATTATAAACCGATCGAGCACTATATGTTGTAAACAACAGTTGTTTCATATTCATTTTCTCCAACTAGGAGTTGGGAAATGAAAATGCAGAAATAGTTCGATTATCCATCGAGTTTCTAACCGTGTGACCACAAACCCTCGAAGATTTCTCGCTTATAAAAAATGTTTTGG